ATAGCCTCTCAAGGATTTAACGCAGGACCATCTACTAACCGTGGCAGAGAAGGTCAATATGGTAGAGCAAGAGGAAGCAGGAGCGGTCAATATCAACGCAGTAGTAGAGCCATAGGAAGTGGGTCTAGCTATATGAACCGGCAACAACGGTTTGGTTTGCAGCAGGGAATGCATTCCACGACATATCAGCAGAACCAGATGGGTGTTGCTCCCGATCTAACCGATTTTCCAGCTCCAAGGCTCCCACCAGGGTATCTAAGTGAGTACTTGGCGAAAATAACTGGTAGTCACATGCCAACAACACATCCAGGTGGACCGTCGGGATCAACAATACCCAGGCCTGAGCTAAATTCAAATGCATTTCCTTCTCAGCCATTTCAGTACCCGAATCATCAGGCACAGGGGCAAATGTATCCCCAAATGCAGTCTCACAGCTCTGGGCGGTCTTTTTACCAAGGAGGACAAATACCAACTGTAGATCAGAACCCTTTCAACCCAGAACATCGCTTTGGCCAGCCAAATACAGTGCCATGGCTTGATGCATCATTACCTTCTCAGGGATTTCAAAACCCGAACCAACAGCAAATGCAGTCTCAGTGGTCTAACTCTGGACAGTCTTTTTACCAACCAAGACCAATACAAACGCCACAACCCACTGTAGATCAGAACCCTTTCAACCCGCAACAGCGCTTTGGCGTGCCAAATACAGTGCCATCGCATGATGCCTTTCCTTCTCAAGAGTTTCAAAACCAGAATCAACAACAAATGTATCCCCAAACTCAGTCTCATGTGTCTAACGTTGGACAGTATCCTTACCAGGGAGGAAGAGGAGGAAGAGGACGTGGCTTGCATGAGTAAAACGCCTATTGCGTTGATGATTTCCAGCCTTTTTTTACTTGCATTCTAGTGATTGATTTTGATGAGTGTTTACACAAAGATGAGCAGAATCTTTTGTTGTTGATGTGTCAACCCCCCTTGTCTGCTTTTGGTTAATCTTTTAGCAATGTCCTGTGTTCATCAAGTGTGTAAAAGGTTAAGACTTTTGATCCTGATTTTGATCTTCTGTCTGAATCAAAATTTGGGGAAATAACGAAAGATAACGTCAAGCATTTGGGGTTCTTAGTATAAAGCTATTTCACAGCTTGACATTTTTACAAACACATTATGTGCACTATATACATGATATGAAGAAAAACAAAAGCAAAGATGATGATAATAAACATCCTCTGTAGAACCACACTTGAGAATGTCTTTGAGGACAATTACAAGAACATTCAGACCAAGTTGGGAAACTCGTTGGCACAAGAAACAAGAAGAATATAAAAGACATAGTTTTTTTTGGCTCCAATTATTGTCCCATGCCATACCAGATTATTCAAAGATGAAATCAAATGATGTATCAGCAACAACAACAACGAAACCCTGAATTGTTAATCTAATTACCTTTGTTTCTACTAATACCAACTCGTCGGCTTCTCATTCTCTCTTCATAGCTCTTTGAGACTAAAGACAAATTTATCTTTTTAATTAAGTTTCTTCGTGGAAGAATGGAAATCTCATTTCCAATTATGCCTGCGAAAGATCAGAAAGAGGCCTTTTCATAATTAGCATGGTCTGCAAAAGTTTCCAAATCGATTATGAAACTCTAGAATTCCAAACTTGATTGACTCAGTTTGTAAAATTCATTGAATTCGCCTCAATTCTGCATCAAATTCTCTGTTGGGTCATTTCGTTTTTCGGGTCGATCCTTTCAACTTGTTTCTACTTTAAAGCTCGACAACTTGCTCTGTTTTGTATTCTCTGTAAATTGTAACATATTTATTCGAAATTTCTT